ATATATTTCGCTATCACAACGATCGGAGTCAGAATACTGGCTTTTCAGGTCCTTCCAGGTTTTCCTAAATGTAGCTCTGGAGATTTCTTAGAGCTTTGGGTGGGATGAGATCTCCAGTCCTGGGGCCAGGTGTTACCAATGACCAGCTTGGGCTGATCAAGTGGCTGAGAGCAGCCTTATTAGAAGCCAGCCCAGTGCTCAGTGTGAAGAGGGAGTTGTGTGGGTGCAGGAAGCACAGAGCCACAGCAGACCCAGGTGCGTACGGGACACGTGGAACAGCCAGGGAAGGCTGGAAGAGGTCGCTGACCCTAGGACCGCTGGGACACAATGCAGAGAGAGCAGAGTGAGGGCACACGAGGGAAGCTATCTTGTGCAACAGGGGAGGTCTACCCTGAGGATGGAACGAGATGTATGGCGTGTGCCCTTAATAAAACTGCATTTTACTTGCACCTGCGGTCTACAGTCGAGTGTCCTTGTTACAATATATGTATATATTTCTATACACACACTTTATTTTCTTTACTCCAATATTACCTGTGGTTAAATTTATGACCAAACGAAATCCAATCCTTCTCAATCAATACCTATAGACAAGGAAGGCCAATAAGTGCATTAGAATATATATGAAAAGAAGCAATCAAATCTACAACATGAATAGGCAAACCTTACACAAATGCACTGAATCTCTTACCATAAAGCCTTTGATGGTTCTGTAATATGGGTCAAGGAGCAGGCTTGCAACGGAGCAAACCTGAGCTGTGCGGTCCCACCCATCAGAACAGTGCACAAGCACACTGGTCCCCTCCTCTGCCACTGCCTGCAATAAGAAAAATGCTAAATAACAGGGTAAAATATATAGAATTGCAAGGCAAGCTGCTTTGTAGTATTGTTATTAAAATGGATAGAGATGAGCATGAGATTTTCAAAAACCCTGCAACCCTTTTATTGAGCTACAGGTCAAATTACGGGCATTGTTTGTAGTAGTTTCATTCTGCAAAGATCCATTCCAAGGCTATTCCACACATGTAGGAATGCAGATACTGCAGCTTTTCATATTACAACAATGAAACTGATCAGCTGCTATGAAGGCTGACCCATTCAGAGACGTTTGAGACAGCACATGGTACAGCAAGTAATAATTACTCCAGAACAGGAAAAGGTATGGAAGTTCAAAAATGTTTAAAAGACCCAATCTTTTTTTGCCATAGTTCTAGTTCTCTTTAGGGTCACAGGAGGAAATATACTAATGTCCTCCTGTGACCAAAACTCAGCATATAGCAGGCTATTGCCTACTATAAGCTGACAGAGTAGAGTCGCACTGCAGCTAGGAAAGATTCCGACAATATTGTCAGGATCCACCCTGATACCTGATTGACCACTCTACCTGATTGACAGCTCTCTAGAGGCAGAGCCAGCTGTGCCCAGTCCCTCCCCCGCCCCTGATGTTTAACGCAACCATGAATCCGATTCACACCCCTACTGGAAGTCTAAGGCTGGGCACACACCTTACTACCATCTTTTGTCTTGCGATGGTTGTAAGGTACTTAAAAAAACGTACAATCTGCCTATCTTGCATAGGCAGATCGTACTTGCGATGATCGCAATGCCGAACGGGCAGTGTGCGCTTGCGCACACCGGCCCGTCCGGCTTTTATCTTACGAAAATGCTACAGACCCGCCGAACATCGTACGATGCTCGGCGGGTTTTGAAACATGTTCGTAAGTTTAAAGTCGTGCGACCTTACAGTAGTAGAGGTCGCACAGCTTCCACACACCTTGCGATAATCGTACGATCGTGGGATTTCCCGCGATTATCGTAAGGTGTGTGGGGACCTTTAGTCTGCATGGTGATGCTATTTACGGGTGGTTGCTGCGCAGTTTGGGACCCATATACATCTCTGAGCATTGAAAACCGTGCGATTTACAAAGCAAAATCGTGCCAAACAAAAACGTGTGAAAACAGCTCAATCACCTAGGTGTGAACCTAGCCTAATGGGGCTTATAAAATGGTGAAATAAGTGCAATCCGGACTGTGTAGATTAGATTATCCTGTGAAATAGATTTCAGATATTGAATAGAAGCCAGGGGGCAAAGGGCAAAGCATTTGAAGCCTACTTACTTGTGAAAATGAGATGCAGGCACATTACCTTTGCAATGAAGATGCCAGCATCGAGTATGGTCTTGATATGCCTTAACCAGCCAGATGCTTCCACGCCCCACAGGAATTCACCCATAGATGGTGATCGAAGCTCACATACTGTAAATGCAACAGTTCAGGTTAAGTAAAATAAATGCTGTGTGAAAACCTGCTATCTTTACAAAGAGCGATAGGTGTGATATATTCTTCCAAGAGTGTCTAGTCTTCAAAGATGTATTCATGTACTCTTCTACTTGTGCAGCTATATATATACATATACATACATAGGGCTCAAAATTTCCACTCGCCTGCTCGCATTTGGCGAGTAAAAATAAAGTGAGGGCAGTGGAAATATGGGTCTCCAAGGAGCCGGTACTATGTGGCCCGCAGCCAGCTGACATATCAGGCATACGGTTGCAAACCGTGTACCTGACTTGCGGGAGCAGCTCCACGGTCTGCATCTGTGTTGGATGCAGACCGCAGAGCAGCTCCTGTCAGCTCTGGCTTCCTTCGGCCAGAGCTCTGATAGTTCTGAGCTCCAGCCGAAATTAAGGATGTATGTGAGGAGGATCGATCCCTGGTTATCTGGGGGTGATTAATTAGGTCTGCTGCAGATCTCACTAATCACCCCCAGATAACCTGGGATTGATCCTGCTCACAGCCTCCTGCCTGCAAACACGTGAACAGGTGAGGGGGCTCAGGGGGAGGGTTGAGTGTATTATTATTTTGTGTGTGGGGTGGTTAATAAGGGGGGGAGCGTATTATTTTATGTGTGGGGGGGGGGTT